TGTCTCTATCTCTGCATCTATCTACATCTATTTATATATATCTATCTACCTATATTTATCAAATGTAGGATACACTGTAAACATATTTTTCTAAGGCTCTGTGGTGAGTAGATATGGTGGATATATATGTGGAAGGCATGAAACCAAACATGGTAGCAGGAAATTTATGGATTTAAAGCTTTTAAGCATTTTCTAGGGATGATAGAGAATTGATACCTTTGAGCTCTGGTGCTGGAGAAGAGTACTGAATGAGCGTGGAATGCTAGGAGAACCAATAGGTTCATCCTTGAGAGGGTGAAACCAGGCTGCTCCTTGGAGGCAAGGACTCTGAGGCTTCATCTGACATACCTTAGGTGTATTGCAAGAAGGGACATCAAGTTTGGAAGGGTGGAAGGACAGCAAACGAGAGGAAGACTATCTATGACATGGATTGATTCAGTGACTGGGGTAAAGAGGGTAGGTGTTTCAGAGACAATAAGGTTGGCACAGAGTAGAGAGGTTTCAGGGCTTATTGTACATAGGGTCACTATGAATCGTGACTCAATGGCACATAAATACAACAACAAGCCTTTTTCTGCTCATTCACATATACCTTTTTTCTTCCCTAAAAAAGGGCAATTAAGGAAGAACTATGAGAAGTCTCAGATCATACTGGAGGTTCATTCCTTGATGCCCTGAGCTTGAGCAGCTCAGTGGAAGAAGAGACAAATATCAGCCATTGAGTTCCAGGAGTGTCCCCTTCTTATCCAGGCCATTTATTCTCCAGAAAAGGTCTGCACGGTTTGCCCTGCGCGGTTCCCCTGTTATTAAGTAGAGCAGTCATAGCAGGATTCGTCTTATGGAACACTTTCCATGGTATCCTCTGACTTCACTGATTCACTTTTTAGAATAGTGGCTGTTTGGAGAATAATGACAAAAAGGGACACCACGTTTGAAAGGATGGAGGGGCAGTGAAAAAGAGGAAGACCATCTATGAGATGGACTGACTCAGTGACTGGGGTCATGAGGGAGGCGTGCCTGAGACAATGGGTTTGGCACGGGATAGAGCAGGTTTCAGGGCTTACTGTATATAGGATTCTTTTTTTTTTACTTTTTTTGTGCACAGGAACTAATAAAGATTTACTGAAGTTTCATTAAGAAAACATATTTTGCACTAATATAGTGATTGGTATGGGCCAATGCATTTCATATGCCTCTTAAACAAACCCACAGAACAGCACTATAAGGTTGTTGTTGTTATGTGCCGTCAAGTCATTTGCGACTCATAGCGACCCTATGTACAACAGCCCTAAACCCTGCTCTGTCCTGTGCCAATCACATTGCCTCTGACACATCCATCCCGATCACCCCAGTCACTGAATCAATATTTCCATGCTTGAAACAAACTATAAGGTAGGTGCTACAAAACCCAGAGCTCCTCTCAGGTTAATTTGGACTCATACTATGTAGGATCATCCAAGATGCTGGGCTGTACGAAGAGGAATGTGGCATCAGGATTGGTGGAAGACTCATCAACAACCTGTGTTATGCAGATGACACAACCCTGCTTGCTGAAACTGAGGAGGACCTGAAGCACTTGCTGCAGAAGGTCAAGGACTGCAGCCTCCTATATGGATTGAAGCTCAACATCAAGAAAACAAAGATTCTCACCACTGGACCAATTGGCAACATCAGTATTGATGGTGAAGAGATTGAGATTGTTAACAGTTTTAGCTTACTTGGCTCCACAATCAACACTCTTGGTAACAGCAGCCAGGAAATCAAGAGACGAATTGCATTGGGAAAGTCGGCTGTGAGGGACCTCTCAAGAGTACTGAAGAGCAGCAACGTCAGACTGGAGACTAAGGTGCGCCTGATCCGGGCTATAGTCTTCGCAGTTACGTGCCATGCATCGGAGAGTTGGACAGTGAATAGGGTTGATAAAAAGAGAATTGATGCCTTTGAGCTGTGGTGCTGGAGAAGAGTGTTGAATATACCATGGACTGCTAGGAGAACAAACAGGTTTGTCCTGGAGAGGGTGAAGCCAGAATGTTCCCTGGAGTCAAGGATTCTGAGGCTTCATCTGACATACTTTGGGCATGTTGCAAGGAGGGACTGGTCCTTGGAGAGGGACATCATGTTTGGGAGAGTGGAGGGATGGTGAAGGAGAGGAAGACCTTAGATGAGATGAATCGATTCTGTGACTGGAGTGGTAGGAATAAGTGCGTTTGAGATGGCTAGGTTGGCACAGGATAGAAGAGCGTTTAGAGCTCTTATACATAGGGTTGCTATGAGTCGCAAGTGACTGGATGGCACATAACAACAACTATGTAGGACAGAACAGAACCTCCCTATAGTATTTCTGAGGCTGTAATCTTTTAACAACTTTTCTATGATTTAGAAATTTTGAAATAAACGGGATGTGTTGTTGATGTTTTACCCTTATGTCCTTGCATGATATGAACATCTACAAAAGTCAGCTTGAGTACGGTATGTGATCAGGGAAGAGAAACTAAGAGGCAAGATAGTGAGCATGAGAGATGCAGACCAGGTGCTGAGGACAAGAGTATAATATGGGAAGCCAAATATCATACCAAATATTACATGAAAACCCTTGTTCAGGAATTGAAGGAATTACAAATTTATAAGTTAGGATTTCTCTTGTGACAGATCACAGCCAAGTGAATTGTTTGTTCCCTGCAGATGAGAGACAGCTAGGGCCCCCTACAGAGGGAGCGTTAGGACATGTGAAATACTTCCTGCGCTAAAGCATTAGGTTGACAATAGAGAAAAATTTGGCTTCATTTACAAGGGATTCTTTTTATGATTTGCTTCCCCTGATTATCAGTAAGTACACAGAGAGGCGTGGCTTGAGGCCCTTCAGTCGAGAACTGCTGGCCCCCTGTCTTTACGCTCTCTGTTCTGTCTCATTCCCGGTTGTCTGTCTCATTATTAATAATTATAAAAATCCTTTACCCTTGGTCTGCAACAGTGTAACTCTTCCCTCAATGCCCCCCGAAAGAAGCTTTTTTCTATGATATCAAGAGGAAATTAGGGATGGTACGCACACGAAACATTAGAATAAGCCACAGGTTTTCTTACCTCACTGGGTTTTGAGTCGAGGCCAATCTTGGTGGAAAAAGTATTAGTCTCAGATTCAGATTTTGATTTCACGATCTCTCTAAACCACTTTTGGTATTGTTTCCGGACCTGGAACATAAAAGGGACCACCAGTGTGGTTCTTGTTAACATTCACAAAGAGAAGAAAATCCAGTGCGTCAACAAAAGAAGAGACTTAATATCAAAACTTGTCATCAACCAGGAAGGTCCCTGGGTAGTGCGAATAGTCTGGGCTCAGTTTCTTGGTTATAGAAAGTTCTCTAAGTACACGTACGTGAAAGGAAGAGAACAGCAGTGACATAGCCAGATAGAGACAACTGCTGACAGTGCCTTGGTGATTGCCCTTTGTCTTTCTTTGGGGACCCCAGAAGCTTGACACAGGGTTCATTTAGGAACTGATCCCAAGTGGAACAGTGGGGGTGTGGGACTGGCAAGAGCAGGCAGTCAGTAAAGGTTGCATTTTTATCAGAGAAGCTTCTGTGGTGAGCAATTAGGACTTGGTCCCACTGGGAACCTGAGAACGACTAGCACATGCACCTCTTGTCACCCCTGTGCAGGGCGAGGGGCCGAGGGTATTGATGCACCAACTCCCACCGATCATGGGTTGATGGCCACCGTCACGGGATGTTATTTTTTGGCACTCTGAGCTTCTCTAGCGCATGGGCTACACATATGACGGCCATAGGTAGAGAGTAATGTTGCTGTTGTTGTGTATCATTGAGATGCAGCTGACCCATAGCTGACTCTCCAGCGGGTTTTCACAGGCAGGAGGTTGCCCCTCTCTTCCGCAGAGAAGCTGATGGCCTCAAACTGGGTACCTTTGGGAAGGCAGCGCAGCTTCTTGTCACTAGGTTACCAGAGCTCCAGAGCATAATAGACAATTATATTAAAAAACACCTCAGGGTGTAGAAGTGAATGCCAAGTGGCTATGCAGGGTCCGCCACCAGCAACTTCTATTCCAAGGTTTCTCAACCTTGGTAATATTAACTCTTTTGACTGGATAATGCTTTTTGTGGCTAAGGATTGTCTGTGTGCTGTAGCATGGTCAGCAGCTTCTCTGGATACTACTTGCTAGATGCTAGTGGCATTCCTCTACTTGTGACAAGCACAAATGACTCCAGACATTGCTGACAGTCTCGGGGGACGGTGTGCTGCAAAACAGCTCTGGGCTGAGAAACTTATAGTATAGACTATACTGCTATACATATATAAATACACATAAAATACATATACACAAATAACAAATACATAGCAATTGCTATTGTTATGTGCTGTTGAGTCACATGCAATTCATAGTGACTCTATGTACAATAGCTCTGAACTCCGCTCTGTCTTGAGCCAGTCTCAGTGTCTCTGACACACTTACCCTCCTTACCCCAGTTGTTGTGTCAATACATCTGGGGTCTCCCTCTCCTGTGCCCTTTGTCTTTCTACCTTCCACAGCATGACGTCCTTCTCTAAGTACTGGTCCCTACTGACCACACGCCCAAAATACGTGAGATGGAGCTTCAAAATTTAAAATGTAGAAATTTACTGTGTGTGATATTATCTATCTATCTATCTATCTATCTATCTATCTATCTATCTATCTATCATCTATCTATCCATCCATCCATTATCTATCATCTATCTATCTATCTATCTATCTATCTATCTATCTATCTATCTATCATCTATCTATTATCTCTCTCTCTCTCTCCTTCTGCAGTAATTTTAAGGTAAAAAGTAAAGATGAATTTATTAGAAAGTTACATCCAAAAGGGACAGACCTTTCTCCTTGAAAGGAAATATGGAGGCGAGGTCTGCACTAATGGCTTCTTTGGTTGTTGTTGTTGTTCTGTGCTGTCATGTCAGATCTGACTGGTACAGGAGGAGATTGCCCATCCTTCTCCAGCAGAGCATCTGATGGATTCGAACTGCACACCTTTGGGATTGCAGTGCAGCTTCTTGCCACTAGGCCACCCTTGCACTAATGTACTTCTTAGCACTAGAGCTCCCTTGCACTAGTGTGTTATAATTGGCTTTTCCATTTAATACATTGTGAGTATCCTTCCAACCACAATGTATTCTTGGGTTGGGACAAATAGGAACATCTGAGTGGTCCAAGGCTGTGCTCTCTAGGGATTGTCTTCTCTGTCGGTTCACCTTCTTCCTCTCCCTCATCATCTGAGGACCTGTTTTGTTGTTTAGGTCCCTGGATATAAAGTGAGGGAAAGGAGGAGGAACGGAGGGTGAGCCGCAGCGTAGGGGACAGAGGAGAAAGGGTGCCGATGTAAAGGCATAAGAGGAATCCGGAGTATAAAAGGCAGAAGAGGTAGCCTTGGAGAAATACCTTAAACAAAGTAGGGACCAGAACAGCTAGAAGGGAGAATAAAAAGTCTGGGGAAGGAAAGGAGTATGTCCAATCTATGTCCCCTTCATGGTGTTTGAGAAGGTCAAGCAAAGAACTTGAATGTTTTATATTTCTTTGCTGGGTGATGCTTATTTGGCTGTTTTACCTTCTGATCCACACTGTGTGGATCCCAGCTTCACCGAGGTTTCATAATGTTATTTTTTTTATTTTATTAGTTTTGTGTGAGTGTACCGTCAAATCAGATCTGACTGGTACAGGAGGAGACTGCCCCTCCTTCCCCGGCAGAGCATCTGGTGGATTCGAACCGTGTGCCTCTGGGATTGTAGTTGCAGCTCTTTGCCACTAGGCCACCAGAGCTCCCCTCATAATGTTATTTTTAAGGGTTGTATAGCATCCCATTCCATACCAAAATTTTACCTATAGAGTCCCTTTAACTCACAGTGACCCTAAAGGGTGGTCCAGAACTTCTCCATGGCTTCCCAAAGGCTGTAATCTTCATGAAAGTGCACGAGCATAGCTTTCGAGCCTGGTGGGTTCAAACTCCTGCTCAGCATAGTAACTTCAGCATTAAGTAACTGCTGTGCCATCAGGACAAAGTAGGTTTGTCGTTCAAAACGACTTTCCTACGTTACAACCTCTGACTTCTGATACATGCCTGGGCGAGAGCAGGCAAATGGGATGTGTAGGTCAATGAAGAGGGAAATGGCCAGTTTTATCATCCTGCCAGGCTCAAATCGAGCAGATTTGGAGGCAGAAAACAGGAATCTCACTAACAGCAAGAAAGAAGAAACAGGGTGCACATTCCTTCAGGCCAGAGATTCCGGCGCTGGTCGGAGCAGGATCTAGATGAGAGCAGCAGCAGCAGTGGAGAACAAGTGACCAGTGTGAGACAGCAGTGACCTTGGATTTGCTGCCCTACAAGGCCAGAGTCAGGGCTCTGCACCCAAGCTTGCTGCAGGCCCAGTGGAGGATGCTCCAACTGGCAGAACTAAAAGAGAGGAAGATGGGCTCCTCCCAGGTGACTAACTGGCTCTGAAAACCCACTTGTAGGGTCACCTATGGGTTCAATGGCACACCACCACAACAATATGAGGCCTTTGCAACACAGACCTAAAGCTTTGAGGCTGAAGATCAAAGGGCCTGCAAGCACACTTGAGAACTGTCCTGACTAGAGGACTGGAAAGGACACGGGTGTCGGAATCGGTAGCAGTAGGTGTGGGAGCATGGAGGCAGGTTTGACCTCTTGGAAAGCGGTTTTGTGTGGTAGATGTTATCAGTGGTGACTATTCCCCCTTGTGGAGTTCGTGGAGGTCAGCCTTAGGCTACGTGCATTCTTTTTACAACTGACAGAATCCTTTCCATTCAATAAATCTCAAAACCAAAGCCACTGCTGTCATTTCGGTTCTGACTCAGAGTGACCCCATCGGGTCATTATAAATCTTTATAGAAGACTTCTCATCTTTCTCCCAGGGAGCAGTTGGTGGGTTTGACTTACTAGCCGTTTTGTTATCAACCCGATGCATTATGCCACCAGGGCATCTTACCATTCAATAGATAGAGTTATGCTGTTGTTGCTGTTAAGTGCTGTCGAGTTGTAGATGACTCAGAGACCCTATGAATGAAAGCCCTGAACACTTGGATAAATTTCATTGTTTCTCCAAGTTCATAGAGTTTCTGGAGGCAAACTATCTCAGAAGTGGATGCCACTCCTGCTTCTAAGCTTGTTTTAATCGGGGAGCTCCACCAAACACTGTCCACCATGGGTAACCATTATCACATTTGACACATCAGTGTCACAGTGTTCAGCTTCACAGCAACCATGAGTTACTTCTGTACAGCAAATGGACAGACCAGTGCTATGCCACTTAGAAGAATGTGTCCAAAAACAATTAAAAACAGGACTGTGGGCCGCAGATGAAAATCACCCACGTTTGGCTTGGTAGCATTATTTTCTATCCACTAGGCCAACAGAGCTCTCTTGTTATTGTTGTTAAGTGCTGTCGAGTCATAGATGACTCATAGTGACCATTTGAATAAATCTAGGTAGAGGGTTTACACAGCTCAATGGTCAAGTATTGTTGTTGAGCACAGCTCATAGCGACCCTATGAGCAAAAGACCTGAAACCTTTCTTTTTTTTTTTTTTTTTTTGGTGGCCCGTACGGGGATCTTTTTTGTTTTTTAACCTTTGTATAACTACTGTTGTTTCTCAAAGTTCATAGAGTTTATAGAGGCATGTTGTTTAGGAAGTGGATGCCATTCCTACTTCCAACAATGGTCAACAGAGTTGCATTTTTTCCTATGGGTTAATTCCTAGAGCCAGTATGATGTCCAAAATCTATGGACCTCTCTTAGGAAGACATAATATCTTGGAATGCTAAGTTTCAGACTTATTGGGACTGTTGATCTTAGTTGTCCAAGCAGGCAGCATTTTGCAAGTACTGGAGCACATCACTGTTTTATTTTGTTCACTATAGTCTAGTGATTCCTCTAGGTCATAGAGCCCTGATGTACAAGTTGCCATACAGCAGTCACTTGTGGGTGCTGTGAGGCTGAACACTGTGACACTGATGTGTCAAATGCATTAATGGCTGGTTACCCAATGTGGACAGAGAGTGGGGTGGAGCTCCCTGATTAAAACAAGCTTGGAAGGGGGAGTGGCATCCACTTCCATAATAGCTTGCCTCTGGAAACCCTATGAACCTGGAGAGAGGATGAAAGGCACCCAAGTGGTGAAGACTTTCCTTCATAAGGTCGCTATGAGTTGCCTGCGACTCGACGGCACTTAACAACAACAGTCTAGTGGTTTAGTGGCAAGAAGCTGTGCTGCAATCCCAAAGGTTTGTGGTTCAAGGCCACCAGCTGCTCTATGGGAGGATGGTCAATCTCCTCCCTTGTGATTAAATGCCTCTGAAAACCCACCAGAGGGTCAGCTATGGGTCAGATACGACTCTATCATGCCCAACAACAACAACAACAGACAAATGAATAGGATTTCACTTATAAGCCATATTGAATAAAAACAAACACATAACTAAAAAAAATTGAGGGGAAGCATAAATGTAAGTTTTTTGCATTGTGAAGAATTGTACATCCACTGAGATCAGTTGCTGGCACATGTCTTTAATTGAATATGTTAACTATTTTTGCTTAAAATGAGATGGCTGGATGGGAAGAGGGATAGACACACAAAGTACATATGTAAGAATGAAAATATTAATTGTAGAATCTAGGTGTTCATCATGGACTGCTAGGAAAACAAACAGATTTATCCTGGAAAGGGTTAAACCGGGTGGCTCCTTGGAGGCAAGGATTCTGAGGCTCCATCTAACATACTTTGGACATGTTGTGAGGAGAGACCGGTCCTTGGAGAGCGACATCATGCTTGGGAGCGTGGAGGGACAGCGCAGGAGGGGAAGACCCTCTATGAGGTGGATTGGTTCAGTGACTGGAATAATTGGGATGGGTGTGTCACAGTCAGTGCGATTGGCACAGGGCAGAGCAGAGTTTAGGGCTGTTGTACATAGGGTCGTTATGAGTCGCAAGCGACTTGATGGCACATAACAACAACAACAACCAGGTGTTCACAGCAAACTGCTACTCTTCTTGTATACTTTAAGATATTAATAATAAAATGTCTGTGATAAGCTTATTAATTGATTTCACTAAAGAGTCATTAAAATATAGAGATTTATGCAATACACAGTAATGTATTTAAGGATTAATTTTAAGCAGTGTCGTGAATTGTGTTATTGGTCTCATTCTTCACTCCTCTGTAGTAGTAGTAGTATATAAGTACTATTAAGTAGTATATTATAAGTATTTTATCTTCATAGTGGATGGAATAGTCTTCTATTGACATGGGGCTTTGTTTGGCTAATAGAATACAAGCAGAGATGATGGAAACAGGAGACTGGAATGGCCTTGCCACTGCATGCTAAGCCCAACTAGGATCAACAGTGAACCCTAACCAACTTACAGACTCAAGAATGAGAAAATTAAGTATTCATTGTTTCAACCACTGAGGTTTTTGAGGATTTTTGTTAGACAGCCATCTCTCTCTCTGAGGGCTGAGGGGCCTATGAGGACATTTCAGAAGCTGTCCTGACTGAGGGATTGTACCTGCGACCAACCTGAATGATAGGCTTTTGCTTTCCCTAATATGGTTCTGTGTGGTCTGTGAGCCATTGCAACAGACTTCAGACCTAGGAGAGCAGTGAGCTTGGTGCTGAGTATAAAGGTGTGTGGGAGTGTGGGAGACATGTCTGTCTTCACGGGAATTGGTTCTGTGTTGTGGACGTTGTTGACAGGGACAGCTAGAACAGTGGAGTTGGTAAAGGTCAGATATGGTCGTCCCCACATAGCCCTTGCCATTTTACACTGAACCTTCATTGGGTTTTTGAAGCTTTGAGTCACACGAGAGGAGATTGTCCACCTTTCTCCTACAGAAGGGCTTGTGGATTCAAACCACTACAGAGCTGGGGCCTTTAGATTAGAAGTGCAACTCCCTGTGGGCTATGCCACCAGAGCTCCCTTATCCAGCAGTAACTATTACAAATAGAAAAGCTGAAGAAAACCCACAATCTTTCCTTGATGTAGCAATGAGGTATTTTTTCAGGGTATCTTTTTTTTTTTTAAATGTGTGTGTACCGTCAATGGATTCGAACCGTGTACCTCTGGGATTGCAGTGCAGGTTCTTGTCACTAGGCCACCAGAGCTCCCTATTTTCTCAAGGTATCTTAGAGTCAACAGCAGCTTAAAGTAGAGAACAGATAGTCTTTACAGAATGATAGAACCATATGAAAATGCAAAGAACATGATTTTAAGTGTTCGTTCATACCCGTGTCTTCAAATTTATCTGTGAAAACAATAATGATCAATGCTAACCTGCTGGCTGAGAAGGCAGTAGACCAGGAAGATGAAGATGCCCTGCAGGCTGTTGATGACGGTGAAGAGGTAGGCCATGACCTGGGCGGCTGAGCCCACCTGTAGGACGCCGAGACACCAGGTGCAGCCCAGGATGAAGAGCTGAGCTGTTGCCTTGAGAGTCAGCACCCTTAGAGAGTCAGAAACAACCACATCAGAAACCTAGTAAGGTCACGGGCACCCCTGTAGTGCAACTGTTGCCAGTGAGGACTCTGGAGCAAATTACTTATGCTTAACTCCACATCCTAGAACTGTTGTGTGACTTTGAGTAAGTTACTTTACCTTTCTGTAATCCAGATCCTTTGTTTTAGTCCTATCTTCTAGGGTTGCTGCAAAGATTAAATGAG